GCGAATGACGTACGGGCAGCGAGCAGTACTCCGAGACGCCCCACGCTGAGAGAACCACTTACGAAGCTGCTGGGGCGTAAGGGTCTCGCGCGGACGCCGCTGCAGCTGCATCTGGCCACCGCCAGAAACTCCCCACTGAACAGCTCCACGGCGACTGCCTCTACGGCCGCCGCCGCTACTCCAACTAGCGAACCACTCACGAAGCTGCTGGGGCGTAAAAGGCCATGGGATTGAAAATTGGAGGTATAAAATTCATAGAGAGGTCATTTTCTCATTTTGCTGGTTCTCTTTCACTTTTCTTGCTTTTCTTCTCTTCATTTCAGCTTCTCAGCATCCAACTTTTCTTAGTCGATAGAGCCCTCCATTGAACTCGAGGGGGCTGGCCTGCGGGTGCGCCTGTCGCGGTTAGAGTACGGAAACATGCGCGACCAGCTTGTCAGAATATTATGCTCTAGCCTGTAGTGGGGTGCTCTATAGCGAGTACAACCCTTCTAGGGTTTGCTATTTGTATCCTCATTCTTGCTAGTGCAACCCTCCTTCTTCTCAATTCCTCTTAAACTTTGAGATGCTATCAGAGCAGGTCGATCCCTTTGGATCGATCCTGTGGGTGGGCTCACCACCTCGTTGCTTCCGCTGCAACTTCCACCACTACCTTCTGTGCCGCACGCCCCGTGGCGTGCGGCAGTTTTTCTTCCCGCCGTGCGCCCCGAGGCGCGCGGCGGTTTTCTGCCCGCCGTGCGCCCCGTGGCGCGCGGCGGTTCTCTGCCCGCTGTGCGCCCCGAGGCGCGCGGCGGGCTTCTACCCCGTCACTCGCCGCGTCGCCCTCGGGAGGCGCTGCGACGGGCGACGGGGACCCGCGCGTCGCCCCCCGTCGCCCGTCGTGGCCTGCGCGCGGCCCGTACAGCCGGCGCGCGGCCCGTACGGGCTGCGCCAGGCCTGCGCGCGGCCCGTATGGGCTGCGCCAGACCCGCGCGCGGCCCGTACGGGCTGCGCCAGACCCGCGCGCGGCCCGTACGGGCTGCGCCAGGCCCGCGCGCGGCCCGTACGGGCTGCGCCAGGCCCGCGCGCGGCTCGGGCCGCCTGCGCGCGGTTCGGGAGGCTGTGCCAGGCCCGTGGGCGGCCCTTTCCTCGCTGCCCCTGCCCTCCCCGCTGTCCCCCGTGCTTCTGCTGGCGCCCCACCCCTCCTACAGCCCGTTCTCCTGAATTAGGGTTTGGGGGTGAGGGGTATGGGGGTGAAACTACTGTGTGCCGTTCCCTGCTCCTCCTCCTCCTCCGTCTCCCTGTGCTGCAGCTGCCGCTGAGGGGGGGTGGACTTGTTGGAGCCGTTGGAGTGGTGCTAAGGGGGGGTGAAGGGGGAGTGGAGCTAGCGGTGTAGCAGCGGGTGTGTGTCAGGAGGGGTGGTACTGTTTGGGGGAGGTCGAGTGGAGGCAGCAGTCTTGTCGTCAGCAGCAGCAGCAGTCCGGAGGCTACAATCTCCGGTAGTCGCCAGTCGCCCGTGGGTCCGTTGCTCGTCTGCCGCTACTTTTAGCCGCGGGGCCAGTTACCCCAGTAGTCCGGAGCGTTGTTCCGGTAGCCACTGAGCCAGCAGCTCGTCTGTGTGTCTGCAGCGTCAGCAGTCGCCTCCCATCTTCTCTCCCCCACAGTCTCTCCTCCTCCTCACTTGCCCTCTGCGATAGCCTCTAGCTTTGCTCATAATTGTGAACTTTAAACTATTGCTTCTTGAACTTGTGCTCAGAATGTGTGGTGACATTGTGATCCACCCTGAGCTTGTACTGCTTTGCTTGCTCTGCTGATTACACCCCACTTTGGCTATGGGGGTGTGTCAGAATATTATGCTCTAGCCTGTAGTGGGGTGCTCTATAGCGAGTACAACCCTTCTAGGGTTTGCTATTTGTATCCTCATTCTTGCTAGTGCAACCCTCCTTCTTCTCAATTCCTCTTAAACTTTGAGACAGCTTGCGGAGTGGTCCGAGAACATCCTCAACTTCGTGTTGCTGTAAGATGGCCCCAAAGAATACGCGCTCTAATACGTATGTATGTTTTCGAGATTAACCTCGAAACGGTGTATGTATCTTTTAGGTTTAGTTTTAAATTGTTACGTGTTCTACGCGCACTGTCGGTTTTGCGTTAATCCTTCCGAGTGAGGTCACCTTATGCTGTAGCGATTGACATTTCTTGATAAACCTTCCGCGATCGGCTTTTTTAGCATTACTAGCGCTCTGAAACATGCCGCCCATTGTCAACTTATGGTGTACCGATCGCCGTTTTGAGATTAACCTTCCGCGATCGGCTCTTCGAGCACTGCTAGAGCTCTACGAAATGCATCGACTTTGGAGCTAATCTTCCCCTAGCAGGAGTGTGGGCTGTAGCGATAGAGTGGGGAGACCAATTAACGCGCGTGTTTTGTCCACATGTACTGCAGGATGCTTGCGAAGGAGAGTCTGACTGCGGAGCAGCTTTCGAAGGTCGAAATTGTCCCCATGAGTAAGGTCAACGAGGCCAGGGCGAAAACTCCATATGAACCCGTAGGTCCTCGAAGACTCAATGGTATACTTGGCGAGCAACTGGTCGTCTTCCCGCTGTGGTCTAGGTGAGCGCGAACTACGAGGGTTACGTCCTCAAAAGCTTCTCCTCGAATAATTACCTGGCTATCCGACAGTTGGGACCTCTTCATGCTGACCAGCATTTCGCCACACACCCCATGCAGGATGACCGCCGATCCTGGAGCACGCTGTAGCCTCTTCTTACTTGTACATCCCGACAGTCCGGCGGACCACCCGCACACTCTTATACAAACGCGTCTACTACATTTCGACCCCAAGTCATCTTTTCCTGAACACAAGCATACCAATCTCGCCCCTACGGATCTCATGTTTCAACATGTTTGCATTTTTACGGCTTCGTAAACCACCAACTACATTCGTCGAAACCAGACATGTTTTGCAGATGGCTGAAGGTGCAACTCTTGATGGAGTATTCTCGAGGAGACACAAACATGGGCCTAGAGGAGAAGGAATTCTTTCGCGACATCAAGAGACGCATTGACAACAATTGGGCGCTCGACAAAGCGGGAGTAAGTCTATGGTGCGAACTTGCATTCCATCACGAGACTCGAAATTGGACTCGTTCTAACCTGATTTTACGTTCAAATCGTGCAGAAGCTAACTCCGATGGTCACCTCGATGGTCTCCGATGGTGGGATGTCGGTTCGGGCTCTCATGTAGCGTATCAGTGGCGTAAGGTTCTCGATCATTTCGACGTGATTCTCAAACAGCCGAATAAGGATGAGAAATTGATCGGGCTGGGAACCACACACTACCGTCGAGAGGACATTTTCGAGCATATACTGAATATATGCACTGAGGGTTTCAAGAAACAGGCGGCTGGTGATGATGAGGGTGCGAGGGAGGAGGATGACAACCTGGGCCAACTTGGGGCCGTCGCAGAGGACACAGGTGCCCCGCCCGTGATTGACGCGGAGCTAGTCAGATTGGGTGCCTTGGTTGCAAACGAGCGTCAGAGCATCACGGATGGGACCACCCGTTCTGCGTGGGATGAGGGAGACGCAGCAAAGGGCCGTTGAAAAGGAAACCCAGCGTCGCGGTGTCAGAATGTGATATTTGTCTAGCCTCCAGTGGGGTACTCTATAGCGAGTACGCTCCTAGCCTGTGGGCCCACCTGCTTCCGCTGCTGTCCTGTCTGTCGCGCGCCCCGTGGCGCGAGACGTTTTTTCTTCCCGCCACGCACTCGGGGCGCATGGCGGTTTTCTGCCCGCCGCGCGCTCGGGGCGCGCGGCGGTTTTCTGCCCGCCGTGCGCCCCGAGGCGCGCGGCGGTTTACTGCCTCGCGCGTCAACCCGGGGACCCGCGCGTCCCCCCCGTCGACCGTCGCACCGCCCCCGGGGACCCGCGCGTCCCTCCCCGTCGACCGTCGCGTCACCCCGGGGACCCGCGCGTCCCTCCCCGTCGACCGTCGCGCCGCCCCTGGGGACCTGCGCGTCCCCCCCGTCGACCGTCGCGTCGCCCCTGGGGACCCGCGCGCGCCCCCCGCGATCCCGTCGCGTCGCCCTGGGGGCCCGCACGCGGCTCCCGCCATACCGTCGCCCTGGGGGCCCGTGCGTCGCCCCCTCCCGTCACCCGTCGCGGCGCCCTGGGGGCCCGCGCGCCGCCCCGCCCGTCGCCCGTCGCAGCGCCCCAGCTGCTGCCCGCGTATCTGCCCTGCGTTGGGGGTATGGGGGTGGCAGGTATTGGGGGTGGCGGGTGTGTGAGCCGTCCCCTGCTCCTCCTCCTCCTCCGTCTCCCACTGCTGCAGCTGCCGCTGAGGGGGGTGGGTGTGTGGGAGCCAAGGGAGTGGCGCTAGGGGGGTGACGTGGGAGTGGAGCTAGGGGTGCAGCAAGGGGTGTGTGAAAGGGGGGTGGGACAGTTCGGGGACGTTGAGCGGAGGCAGCCGTCGTGTCGTCAGCAGCGCCAGTAGTCCGGGGCTCTGCTCCGGTAGCCCAGCGAGCCTGCTGCGCCAGTTGCCCGTGGGTCCGTTGCTCCTGCCGCTCGTCTTAACCGCGGAGCCAGTTACTCCAGTAGTCCGGGGCGCTGCTCCGGTAGCCCCTGTCCAGCCGCTCCTGTTGCCCGTGTGTCTGCAGCTTCAGCCATCGCCTCCTATCTCCTCTCCTCTCATAGTCCCGCCTCCTCCTCCTCACTTGCCCTTTGTGAATGCCTTTAGCTTTGCTTGTACTTGTGAACCTGCTCTATGACTGCTTGCTGTGCTGATTATACCCCACTTTGACTATGGGGGTGTGTCAGAATGTGATATTTGTCTAGCCTGCAGTGGGGTACTCTATAGCGAGTATAGCCCAAATTAGGGTTTCCTATATGTACTCAACTGCCTGCTAGTGCAAAGCCCTCTTCTCTGTTTCATTTTCTTCGTTCCTACTTTCTGACACGCGGAGCGGAGGCCCCACTGCAGAGGGAGGAGGGTGAGAGGTTGGAGGAGGATCTTGCCATGTCTTTAGAGGCAGTGCACCTGCAGATCGAGAATGCAGAGGGGCAGGAGCAGGGTTTGGAATAGAGGCTGGTGAGTCATAATGTCGGGGGCGAAAAAGAGGACGAGGTGCAGAGGGCGGAACGCGAGAAGAGTAGCTTGGTATATCAGCGGCGGGAGGCTCGGACAAAGAAGAGGTATGATGCGGGGCGGGAAGCACGCAAGGAGAATGAGGCGCATCAGAGGGAGGAAGAGAACCGTACGAGGCTTGAGGACGATGGGCGAGAGGCGAGTGAAAGGGAGAGGGAGGAAGGGGAGCGGAAGAGGCTCGAAAACGAGAGGCAAGTGGCACGCGAAAAGGAGGATGCCAAGAAGAGGGAGGAACGGGAGCGGAAGAGCCTCGAGGACGAGGGACGGGTGGAGCGCGGAAAAGAGGATAGGCGAGGGGAGCGCGAAAAGGAGGAGAAGCGGCAGAGGGAGGAGGAAGAGAGGAAGAGGGAGGTGGATAGGCGGGAGGAGCGCGAAAAGGAGGAGAAGCGTCTGAGGGAGGAAGAAGAGAGGAAGAGGGAGGAGGATAGGCAGAAGGAGCGCGAAAAGGAGGTGAAGCGGCAGAGGGAGGAGGGAGAGAGGAAGAGGGAGGAGGATAGGCGGGTGGAGCGCGAAAAGGAGGAGAATCGGCTGGAGGAGAAGGGAGAGAGGAAGAGGGAGGAGGATAGGCGGGTGGATGCAAAAAGGAGGAGAAGCGGCTAGAGGAGAAGGAAGAGAGGAAGAGGGAGGAGGATAGGCGGGTGGAGCGCGAAAAAGAGGTGAAGGGGCAGAGGGAGGAGGAAGAGAGGAAGAGGGAGGAGCATAGGCGGGTGGAGCGCGAAAAGGAGGTGAAGCGGCAGAGGGAGGAGGAAGAGGGGAAGAGGGAGGAGGATAGGCGGGAGGAGCGCGAAAAGGAGGTGAAGCGGCAAAGGGAGGAGGAAGAGAGGAAGAGGGAGGAGGATAGGCGGGAGGAGCGCGAAAAGAAGAAGCGGCAGAGGGAGGAGGAAGAGAGGAAGAGGGAGGAGGATAGGCGGGAGGAGCGCGAAAAGTAGGAGAAGCGGCAGAGGGAGGAGAAAGAGAGGAAGGGAGAGGAGGATAGGCGGGAGGAGCGCGAAAAGGAGGTGAAGCGGCAGAGGGAGGAGGAAGAGAGGAAGAGGGAGGAGGATAGGCGGGTGGAGCGCGAAAAGGAGGAGAAGCAGCTGAGGGAGGAGGAAGAGAGGAAGAGGGAGGAGGATAGGCGGGAGGAGTGCGAAAAGGAGGAGAAGCAGCAGAGGGAGGAGGAAGAGAGGAAGAGGGAGGAGGATAGGCGGGTGGAGCGTGAAAAGGATGAGGCACGGCAGAGGAAAGAACGGGAGCGGAAAAAGGCAGAAAGCGAACGTCGAAGGCAGGAGCTGCAAAGGCTCGAGCGCGAAAAGCTATTGGCAATACAGAGGGATGAAGCAGAGAGGTTAAGTGTCGTTCGTGAGCGGCGAACGAAAGAGCATGCGAGGGCAGCTGAGGGCGAAGCAAATCAGGAGCGTTAGAGGGATCGACGGGAGGGGCATGAGCGGCGTGGTACGGGGGGCGAAGTGCAAAGGCAAGAGAGGCAGAGAGAGGTTTTGTTGGGTGTTGGACAAGGTGCTGGAGGGCAGCGGCGTGGGGATGGAACTCATCAAGGGAGTGAGGGCAAGAGGGGCGCGAGAGTGCAGCAAACGCAGTTGGGCGGGCCGTAGGGGAAACTTAACCAGCGGTGGGAGGCGCCCGGCCTGTAGAGGGCTGGCAAAGGCCGACCGGTGGTCGACCAGAGGAGATGGGTTCAGCGGGGTTGGGGACGGATGGCCCGATGGTTGAGATGCAGCGGCAAGGTGGTCGGCGAGCAGATTAAGGAAATCGGAATTGGGTTGGCGATGGCGACCGCAGGAAGACCGAGCAGGAAATGCATGCTAGACGGCGAGAGGTTGAAGCGCGTCGAATGGTACAGGGAGAGCGAGAGGCGGATGAGGAGAGTTGGCGTGGTGTCGGACGGGATACATAAGGTTTTCGACCAAGGGAGGATCAGCGGAGGCACGCCGGGGGACAAGGAGACGAGGGAACACGACATAGGGAGGATCAGCGACGGCAGGCGGGGGGACGGGGTGAAGGGGTGCGGGGACAGCAAGGGTTGAATCCGAGAAACGTTGACCTGGCGGCAGGGAAGTGCAGGAAGCGTGCTTGGGGGGCCTGCAGTGGAGGGTCGACCACACCGTGCGACGGAGCATCAAGCCAGGGGTCAGGCAGAGGAAGTGGAAGACGGTGAATGGGTGCAGACTGAGGCGCGGTGGCGCGAAATTGCCAGCGCGGGGCCTGCGGTTTTCGAGGAGACGGAGGGGGAATTCCAAGAGGTTGGAGAACGCATGGCAGGTACTAGGCGTGTGCAACCCATGACGGAGCTGCTGCGGCGAGTCACATTGGTGGCGCAGTCAGTTGCGAGGATGTCGGCGGACCAGAATGTACGCCTCACACAGAGCTTCAGCGAAATTCGACAAGTGGGAATTTGCGGAAAGGGATGCTCGGTACGTTGCCGGAAGAGCTAACGAACGAGTACGTACGGCTGAAGGAGTCAGTGCTCCGAGAGCAGGTTGAGCTCGGCCAATTGCGTACTGCTCTTTTTACGGCAGCAGTCGAGGCACGATTGGCAGCAGCTGACGAAGTTCGACCAGCTGCTGCAGCGGCTGTGGGAGCATTGGAGGAAACTTCGTGGGGTTTTTAGACACGGTTGGGGAGAGGCTGAAGGGTATGGTGGAGCGGGCGGTAGAGGAAGTGTCAAAAGGGAGGAAGCTGGAGGCCACGATGGCACCCAAGTCCGTGCAACACCTGGAAAAGGCTTTCGACCAAAGTGTATACACGGTGTGCAAGGATCTCAAAACATCGGACGATCAAAACAAGCTGAGTATTAAGGCAATTCAGAAGGCTCTGGCAGGACTGGCAACAAAGCTCAAAGGGCCGACCGGACCTATCACGATCGAAATTCCACTCGCTCCCAGGGCAGAGGCCACACGAGAGATTCAAGGCTCGCTGGGTGGTTCGAGGGTTCGATCAACGGCAGGGAGAGAATTACGGCGCGACATTCGCTCCTGTCAGTCGCCCCACATCGCTCCGAATACTTCTCGCTTTCGCTGCCGCATTGGGCCTTAAGCTTCGTCAAATCGATGTATCCACGGCGATTCTCTACGCTCTCGTCGATACACTCTTTCTCGTCGAGCAGCCGCACGGTTACGTTACGGATTCGTCAATGATCTGCCGTCTCAACAAATCCCTTTACGGTATTAAACAGGCGCCACGTCTCTGGCAGCAGCGTCTCCACGAGCATCTTACCCGGATCGGTTTTCACCAACTGCCTCATGACCACGGTATGTACCACCTCGACAGGGGAGCTGCATTCATTCTACTCGTCGTCTACGTCGACGACTTGATGTACATCGGCAGCACACCCGACATTCTCTCTTACTTTGAAGGGGAGCTGAAAACCGACCTCACGATAACTATCTCAACTGACGTTACACAGTGTCTCGGGCTTAATATCACCGAGACGCCTACTGCTATCCACCTCTCCGCAGAGAAGAACGCTAAAAAGTTGCTGAAGCGTTTTCCTCTACAGATCACTACCGCCAAGACTCCGTTTCGTTCTACTCGGATCGCTGACTCCGAACTACTGAACTCCGCGGGTATCACACGCTATCAGCAGCTACTGGGTAGTCTTCTCTTCGCAGCAGTAACGTGTTGTCCGAATATAGCCTACTCTGCTAGCCAGCTCGCTCAATATCTTAAGCGACCTGAAGGGGAGAACCTACGGGAGTTGGAAGCAGCAGTTTCGTACCATATCTCTACGTCAACTACCGGGCTTACGTATCGTAAGTCGTCGAAGTCGCCACTATCTCTACTCGGCTACGTAGATTCAGATCACGCAGGAGATATCGCAAATAGACGCTCACATACTGGTTATATCTTACGCCTTGAACCCGTGGGAACAATCTCCTGGCAGTCGTCAAAGCAGGAGCTGATTGCACTCTCTTCAGCTGAGGCAGCGTTCATTGCTGCCTGCACCGCCACGAAGGAAGGTATTTATCTTCGCGAATTGCTAAACGAAGCGAAGTTACTAGATCTGTCGCAGTTTGAGCTCTTTTGCGAAAGTCAATTTGCAATTCGCATTGCAAACAAATCTGGGTTCGCCAATCGGACGAAGCATATCTCGCTTCGCTATTTTTTCGTCAAGGATGAAATCGAACAAGCCAAGTTACAGCTTGGTTACTGTCCTACGAGCGAAATGGCCGCAGACTTCTTGACCAAACGCCTGCCGAGTGAGAAGTTCCAGTACTGCGTGATGCTGACTGGACTCGACCACGTCACCAAGGGCACCGACAACATCAAACTCCAGAATTGAAGGGGAGTGTTGGGGAAAGAAATCTGACTTATACAATTCAGACGTTCGATAGTATATCTACAGTAGTACAGTAGATAATTATATGTGTGTATTACTGTAGCATGTGTCTTTTCGCGTGAGTATCATGTGTCAGAATATATTTTTTATATATTTCTGTATAAGTGCATGTAGTTCTAGCTGTAGTGTAGTTACATAGCTGTTCTGTTTGGTGGTGCACCACTCCTTGCATGTTTCTCATCTACTTGTACTTGCAATTCTATAGTGAAGCCCCTCTTTGCTCTCGACACCCTCGTTGGCCTAGTCTAAACCCTAGGCTCCTAGTTCTAACTTATGAAGCTATTTTGACATGCTATCGAAGCAAGTAAGATCCTGGCCTGTTACTTTTAATTACCCCATGGGCCCACCGTTAGCTTCCGCCAAATGCGCTCTGCTGCCCGTCGCGCGCCCTGCCCGTCGTGCGCCCCGAGGCGCGCGACGGTTTCCTGCCCGTCGTGCGCCCCGAGGCGCGCGACGGTTTCTGCCCTGCCGCACGCAGCCCGTTCGACCCGCGCAAGGCCCGCGCGCGGCCCGTACAGCCCACGCCAGGCCCGCGCGCTGCCTGTGCAGCCCGCGCCAGGCCCGCGCACCTGCACTGCCCCTGCTGTCGCCCGCGCAGCTCCTACCCCGCCCCCCCGTCCCCTCTTCTCCTCCATCCCCCTGCTGCGCATGCAGCAGTGGGGGGGAGGTTATGGGGGTGGCGGGTGTGCGTAATCTGCTTCTCCTCCTCCTCCTCTCTCTCCCACTGCTGCAGCTGCCGCTGAGGGGGGGAGGGTGTGGGGGAGCCGAGGGAGTGGCGCTAGGGATACAGAAGGGGGTGTGGAAAGGGGGTGTGGGACAATGGGGGGAGGTTGAAAGGAGGTAGCCGCCATGAAGCTAGCAGCTCCAGTAGTCCGGATGCCCTTGATCCGGTAGCCCGTGAGCCAGTTACTCCAGTCGCCCGTGGGTCAGTTGCTCCAGCCGCTCGTCTAGCCGCGGAGCCAGTTACTCCAGTAGTCCGGATGCCGTTGCTCCGGTAGCATGTGTGCCCGTTGCTCCAGTCGCCCGTGTGCCAGCAGCTTCAGCTACCGCCTCCTACCTCCTCTCCTCTCATAGTCCCTCCTCCTCCTCCTCACTTGCCCTCTTCTTCTGCTGTGCCCTGCAAGGTGTACCACTTCAGGGGGTGTTTTGCACATGGCTATTCCTGCATGCACTTAGGGGGTGTGTCCGAATATATTTTATATATATTTCTGTATAAGTGCATGTAGTTCTAGCTGTAGTTTAGTTACATAGCTGTTCTGTTTGGTGGTGCACCACTCCTTGCATGTTTCTCATCTACTTGTACTTGCAATTCTATAGTGAAGCCCCTCTTTGCTCAGCACCCCCAGGCTCCGCACGCTCAGGCTCAGCACCCCCAGGCTCCGCACCCTCAGACTCAGCAACCCCAGGCTCAGCACCCCCAGGCTCCGCACGCTCAGGCTCCGCACCCCTCGGCTCCGCACGCTCAGGCTCAGCACCCCCAGACGCATCACCCCTAGCACGTTTCATAGTATCGACTGTTCGCATAACACAGGATTCTACTGCTTCATAGTATCGACTCGATATCTTAGCACGTTTCATGAAAAGGGCACATTCTCGAATATGTACTTCCTTAGACTATAAAACTCTTGTATCTTTTCTTTATTATTGATTCTTGTTCTCACATTCGACCAGTACAGAAATTCAAGATTTCCGGTGCAATACAACACTAAGACTAAACTCTAAAAGATCCTAAGGCTATTCTCAGCCCAACAACACGAAATCAAATTGTCTGTCTGATGGATCATATAAAATAAAATCGCTTGTCCGAAAAATCATATGAAACAAAGAATTGAGGTTCGATTATCAAACCGATTCGGTTTGATAATCATATGTCAGATTTATATGACATAGCTACTGTAGGCTATAGTGGGGTAGCACATATGGGGTACAGTTTTCTAGGGTTTGCTTTTGTACCCAACTTTCCCTTAGTCAATCCATTCTCGTTTCTATTGTAACATGGTATCGAGCAGGTTCCCTCGTGGGAACTGTTCCTAGGGCCCACCAATTCGACATTTTTTTCTGCCCGGAGCGCGCTCAGTCCTAGCCCGAGTCGCGCTCCCCCCCCCTCCTTTTTTTTTTTTTTTCTCGCCCCGTCGCGCCGCCCTAGCGGCCCTGTCGCCTGCCTTGCGGCCCTCGCGCCGCCCTTCCTGGCCCCGACCCGCCGCCCGGCGGCCTCGTCGCCTACCCCGCGGCCATCGCGCCGCCCTTACCCGGCCCCGATCCGCCGCCCTGCGGCCTCGTCGCCTACCCAGCGGCCCTCGCGCCGCCCTGCGGCCCTGACGCCGCCCATTCCGGCCCCGGCGCCTACCTGCGGCCCCGACGCCTACCTGCGCGGCCCCGGCGCCTACCTGCTGGCCCCGCCACCTACCCGCGGCCCCGCCACCTACCTGCGGCCCCGCCACCTACCTGCGGCCCCGCCACCTACCAGCGGCCCCGCCACCTACCCGCGGCCCCGCCATCTACCTGTGCGGCCCCGCCACCTACCTGCGGCCCCGCCACCTACCAGCGGCCCCGCCACCTACCCGCGGCCCCGCCACCTACCTGTGCGGCCCCGCCACCTACCTGCTGGCCCCGCCACCTACCTG